CCTCGTGGAGGGAGGTAATGGCTGCTTAACATCCTCCCTAACCCCACCACACAAAGAATGTTCTGTGGCATTCCATCCCAGGAAGTTCTTCCTCCCTTTCCTAAGGAGAATGTATGTGATAGGCTGGTAAAAGGCTTGTCCCATGAAGTCCTGCCACAAGGCCCTTTTATGACAGCTGACTCCTTTATGCCAGGTTGCCATACATAAAGTCAGGACCTTTAACTTTTTTCCCTATTGGTGTCAAATACTCTAAGAAAAAAAAAATCTCACCTATATTATAGAGCAAGAAATACAGGATTTCTGGTTCCTTAACACTTCTAAGTACCCACTAGAGTTCACTCAGGGTATGGTTCTAGAAGGTGGGCTTGATATCCATGCTGTGAAGAATTTACAATTTTCCCACAAAGATATTCTAAAACCAGATCTCAAAATAGATCATTTATGCTCTGGTATTGGGGTACAGATAGACATTTTAGGAGCAGTCTTTTCTAGTATCCCCAATTCACATCCATACTTGGTTCATAAGGCAAAAACGGTTGGGATATTTATGATGAAGATCTTTCTCAGAATTCCCAGCTCCCTAAATGAACAATAACTCCTACTAACTGAAGCCAACATTCAGAAGCTCACTAGGACCGAGCCACTTTGCAAAGTAAAAATCAAATCCTATAAGTGTAGAAGGAAAACTGCTCTTTTAAGAAGCAGCTAGAATTTTATAATTTAATCTAAATTTTCTGACTAGACAACTATGGCTTCAAAAAATTAGTATTAATCTATTAATTGATGAAGGACCGAGACACTTTGCAAAGTAAAAATTGACTCCTATATTTGGAGAAGGAAAATTCTTCTTTTAAGGCTCATCTAAGGATTTAATAACTTAACCTAAATTTTCTGGCTAGACAACTATGGCTTCAAAAATTATTATTAATCTATTAACTGAGTAATTTTATTGATGTGAAAACAAAAACAAATAGATGGTCTTTTTGACTTCTATTAAAACTCCTTTCTCAACAATTATTTTGTTTCATGTGGATTCAGTTTGTAAAAATTTCATTTAATTCCAATTTCTTTATGGAGGCCCCCACATGTTCAGGGAGAAAAGAGAAGTGGTATGATTGGGAAAAAGCATTTATCACTTTCAAGCAAATGGGGACACAAATAAGGTTCTTATTCTTTACCCTGCCACTCTAGTTGATTACTTCAATGGCCACACCAAATATGTAAGTACAGAGTATTCTGCTCACAATTCTTTATTCTCCTGGGCACCTACAACCTCTAAACTTTTTGGGACACAGGCAATGGAAAGTAAGCTAGAGTCTAGGCTGGCTTTGTGTCACAGTGAAGGCTATAGTTTTATGTGTTTGTACATATGTATGTATGTGTGAGCATATGTGCATATGAGGATGGGAAATTATTTTTTTTCAAAGAACACAAGACATCCTAAAATTCAAACAGGATAGCTTCGTACAAATAGTTGCTCTGTCCTCCAGAACTCCTACTAAGCAATCCCCTTCTTTTTCTTTTATTCGAATAACTTTCTGGATTAGAAACCATGAGGGTTTTGTTTGCTCTTTAACCTGTAAAGAAATGTGATTCTCCAAGAAACCAGATCAGTGAGTGGTGTGCTATCGCTCTCCTCCCACAAATATTCAAAACTCTTCTAATCTCTTTGGAGGAGGTGTTTAAGGGTCGACACACCACTCCACATAAAGGAGCAAGTTATTCTGTTCATGGCATGAATAATTGACTGCATTTGAGATTGGGGTTTTAGGGCACTGTTGACTTAAGCAAAATAAGCCTGCAGTCCAGCTGCAGCTTGAGTTTTCTTGCTTTTACCCTATCCAATACTGTCTTTCTTGCCTAACAGTGGCCCTTTTCAGATCTTTCCAGGTATAAAACCTTGACCAAATCTTCAAGCTCTGTTCTGCATACACGACTTGAACACATCTGGCTGATCTGAGCTTCTCCTTCGGTGAATATCTTCCACTGGCCTAAAAGGCAAACACAAAGTATCCAAGCAAGTGTAAGAAGAGAGCAGAGCAAATTAAGAATAGAGTCAACATATCTCAGCCTTACCCACTTATTCATGAACTCACCAGAGGATGTGGAATACATATATCAGGTGATTTCAGCAAAATATTCCCCCAAAACACTGTTCTTGGGGCAGACATGGAAAATGGGCAGAGTTTTTCTTTCAACACATAGCATTTGTAAGAATCCCAAGAACAATACATAACACCCTCCTCCAGAGTAAAATCTAAGTATTGTTTTTGGGATTTTTATAGGATATTTAGCATTTAAAAAATGCTCCACTATCTGTCTGTTAGCTAGTTATGCACCAGGTCTAAAAATGTATTTTAGGGACCAGCAGTTAGCATAATAACTATGTCACTGGACTCCCATGTAGTTGACTGCGTTTGAGTCAACTGCGACCCGGAGGCTTAAACTCACACTGGGCGCGTGTGTGTGGGTGCCCAAAATCCCGAGAGGAGAATGGAGGAGAAGGGATTATGACGTGGCCATCCCCCATGGGGGGGGGCTTTCTCGCCTTCTGTCTCTCTGCCTCTCTCTGTCTTTCTGGTGAGCACACACACCCTATAGCGAAAACCTCTCCCCCCAAAAAATGTATTTTAGAAAACAGTACCTGCTGCATTTCTGGGGCTTTGCTTACTCTTAAGGGCCGCAAGTATTGGTTGGAGTTATTTGATTATTACTTGACTATTTACCACTTTTAACTCTATTCCTTTCATCCTTTGTTAAAAAGTGTTCACTTTTGGGGAACCAGCAGTTGGCGTAATGGCTATGTTGCTGGACTCCCACATAGTTGACCGCGGTTCGCGTCCTGGACCTGGTGGCTTAGAACTCACGCTTGGTGAGTGTGCGTGCGTGCCCAAGATCCCGAGAGGAGAATGGAGAAGGGATTGCGGTGTGACCATGCCCCCTGGGGGTGATTTCTCGCTTTCTGTCTCTGTGTCTCTCTCTGTCTGTCTGGCGAGCGCACGCACCCTATAGCGAAAACCTCTCAAAAAAAAAAAAAAGATTAAAAAAAAAAGTGTTCACTTTTGCTTTCTCCTATATCCACATGCTGTTCTTACACCTCTCTAATGCTTCTAGATTCCTTCCCATGGCTCCTTACACTGTTCCATTGTCACATCCCCCATGGGATCCCTTTTTACTCTGTGTAAGCTAAGCTCTATCCCTTCTATTCCCTATTGGGGAAGGAATCAGATTTCTTTTTGGTCCCAAGTTGGCCTCATAAGATCATTTCATTACCCACTTCCTACAGGACCAGCAGTTAGCGTAATGGCTATGTCGCTAGACTCCCACGTAGTCGACTGTGGTTTGAGTCCCAGACTTGGTGGCTTAAAACTCATGCCGGGCACATGTGCATGCATGCCCAAGATCCCGAGAGGAGAATGGAGGAGAAGGGATTGTGGCGTGGCCATCCTCCCTGGGGAGTGATGTCTTGCTTTCTGTCTCTCTGTCTCTCTCTGTCTGTCTGGCGAGCGCACGTGCCCTATAGCAAAAACCTCTCAAAAAAAAAACAAAAACCCACTTCCTTACAGTTTGAGTACATACCATGTACTCCCATTGCAAACCCCAAATCATAATAGTTATGGGTCCACAGTATGTCCAAATCATCTTTCAAGTACCTAGAAGCCTAGCTCATTGTCTTCCTCACAGCGTGAACCAATAATGCATGTTCTTTGAAATTACCTAGTAATTTCAAATCACATCATTGATCATGGGATCCTAGACTCTGACTCTTTTATTTACTTATATGTAAGGACTCTCAATGCCTCCATTTGAATTCTCATATTGTTCAGTTTATTTTCTATCTTTCCTACAGAAGACAAACAATTGATCTCTTTAATTGTATGTCCAGCAACCAATTGGAAAACTCTGCTCCAATGGCCTTTAGCATTTTAATCTAAACGTGTTCTAAGCGAACCTCTTTTTTTTCTCCACCAAAATCTATTTATTCGTCAGAGTTTTCTTTTGGTGAATGATATTACTTAGTCTATAAAATTGTTAATATTGGAGCAATTCCAAACTAATGTCTCTTTTTGATGCTGATTATGCTGATTTAACCTCAGAAACGTCTCTCACCATGACCTCTCCTCCTCTGCCTCACTGATTTAATATAGTATAATAGCCTCCTAAATCAGACTCTCATCAACTCTCTCACTAACAGTCCACCTTTCACTCCACATAGCCAGGACTTCTTTCTAAAAAAAAAAAGATAAAAATGCACTGTTCGCTTGCTTTAAAGCCTGTACTGGCATCTGACCTGGAGATAAAGTCCAACTTCCTAATGTGGTAAATCAGGTTCTTCATAATCTGACTTCATCAAAGCAGGTGCTTCATAAAACCATCTGATAGCCCAGAGGCATCTTTCCAAAACACCATTTATATGTCACTAGACAATTTGTAAGTTTGCAGGAACTCCCAGTGCTGCTTGCCTTACATCTGAACTTTTCACTGGCTTCTTCTAAGCTCTCTGTCTCCTTCTTACCTCCAACTCTTCCTTCTCATCTTTCATTGTACCCTATGTGGCCTTTGTGATCATTCCTCACCCCCACCCAGATTTCTTGTTTGCTCCTGTCTGAGTCTTCTCTTAGGCTGCACCCTCTTCCTGGACTGATTTCTTGACCTGTTGCCCAGTCACACCCTTCTCTTTCAAAACACACCTCCTCCCCGAAGCCTTCCCGAACTAAGCCCACCTGGCTCTCATCTCATGTTCTTTGCAGATTCCTATGAGCACTTTGGTATTTAATTCCTCAAAACTATACTAATTCACAGTGAAGGCATTTTCATGTTCTGTCTTGCCCATTAAAATTCCCTGTGGATAGAAATTTTGTGCTTTTTATTCCATCAGAAGTGCTCCCCAACCCCCAGTGCCTAGCAGTATCTAGTCCCTAGGCTCCATCTAGTGTAGAAAGTGGGAGCACTCCAAGTATGCTTGAGTGCTTGAATGCTTTTAAAGAAACATAACTACCCATGGGCAGTTCTAAAAGAGTTGAAGAACTTTGATCCAGCCGAGGAATAGATATACATTTATATTTTCTCTATCTCTCATCCCTACCACCAGAGGACATTGCTTTCCAGAAGTGAAGTCTCCAAAAACACCAGATCTAGAATCTTGTGAACTTTCTCCAATCCTCTTTAGACTCTGGGCTTAGCAGTTTCACTAAATATGTTTAGGATACCTTGACCTGCACTAGCTTATGCTTAAGACTACATCTGGTTTTGCATTCACCATGTCCTACCTTTTCTATTCATGATTCAGACACCACAATCACTGCTAAGTCACACAGAGGAAACACAGAACATTCTCCAATTTTGATATTAAACATTGCTAATGTTCACTGAGAACATAGAGGGACTTCAGTTGTGGTTATGCTACATCGAAAACCAAATATGTTTTCTGGAGAGAAGAGAGGGACCACTTACTCAGGGTTGTTCTGGTCACCAGCTTGAAGTGATGAAGCTCCTCAAACATTCTCTTGGAGATCTTCTCAATATGGAAGTGCTGGAGGATGCCTGGGGCCAAGCAAAAAGTGGGGCAGGTGGTCAGGAACTATCTGGAACCACCAACCCCTTTTTCTGCTTGGGTTGAGCATATCATCTCATTACTGAGGCTTAGGACTATTGAGCTGGACTATATAATGTGCTTAACCAGAAACTTGGATGGATCAAGGGTTATAATTAACTCCATTTGTTTCCATGGCTCACTGGCCTCCCTTTGGCTTCTCCAGGGGATAGAGATAAGGGAGATAATGCTGTTGACTATGGGAGCTCCTCCTAGGGAAAGCCACATGGAATCAAGCGTGGGTGCTGGTTGGAGCTTCTGCAGCCAAAGGCAGTATTAGAAATTCTGCCCTTGCCTCAGATCTGGGCAGACTATGGCCCTGCCAAACCACTGGGCCGCCTTCCTGGCTAAGCAATAAGAATCAGCAGAAGGACTGCAGGCAGGTTGTTTGTGTAAATGGAGAAGCTGCCTCTGTTCCTGAACTCACTAAAAAGCATATTTTCCTTTGGGAAATATTCACAGGTTCTTTAGGGTTTCCTTATTGGAAAAAAAAAAGGCAGTTAAAATAAAGTTCTATAGTCTCAACCCTTCATGAATAGCTTTTATCAGAAAAATAGGTAAACAACTGAAAACTGCCTCATAGTTAAGAAGTAGCCCACTTAATCCTTAAGGGGTCTTATGAGGTAAAGAAGATGAACTCTTCTTCTCTCCCCACTAAGCACAAACCTTGATAACCCAGCACTGTGAACAAGAGGCTACTTATATGCTATATTATCAAGTTGAAAACCATCTGCAAACCTCTATAGGGTGAGAGATGTGAAACATTTAATAGTGGGCACACTGCTGGGAAGCCAACAGACTGGTGCCTGGTCCAAGATGACCAGTTATGGACAAGCTAAGGAGTTAGAGATGAAAAAATTAGCATTCCTAGATATAGAAAAAAAACCCCACACCATACCCAACAAAGATGTACAACTATTATATGTAAATTAGAAATTATAATAAAAAGTAACATAAAAATAAGCATGGAAAAGAAGCATGTATGTTCTAGCATTTTGTTTTTGAGAGTTTATTTATTTATTTATTTATTTTGCTGTAGGGTGTGTGCACTCACTGGAGAGACAGAGAGATAGAAAGTAAGAAATCATCCCCCAGAGGGGTTGGTCACTCCACAGTCCCTTCTCCTCCACTCTTCTCTTGGTATTTTGCACACGCACACATACATATCTAGCATGAGTTTTAAGCCACCGAATCCAGGACTCAAACCACGGTCAACTACATGAGAGTCTAGCAATGTAACCATTACACCATCTGCTGGTCCCTATTCTAGTTTTGTCTGTTTCTTTCTTTCTATTTTTGAGATATTTTTGCTATAGAGTGCATGTGCTTGCTGGAGATACAGAGATACAGATAGACAGAAAGAAAGAAATCACCCACTGGGGGGATGTCCATACCACAATCCATTCTTCTCCATTATTCTCTCGGGATTTTGGGCATGGACACACACATGCCTAGTGTGAGTTTTAAGCCACTAGGTCCAGGACTCGAACTGTGGTTGGTCATGTGTGAGTCTAGCATCATAGCCATTACGCCATCTGCTGGTCCCTCTAGCATATTTTTAAGTGGTAGAGAGGAACACATTTTAAAGAATGAAAGGTTTTTTGTAGCGAGAGTAAAATAGTCCCATGAATATTGGGGCAGTATTTCTCAAACTATGGTCTGAGTACCACCTGTGTTAGAATCACCTGGCTGTTTGTTAAACATGCAAGTGTTCAGACCTTACCCAAGGTCTACTGAATTTGCATCTCTAGGATGGAATAGCTGCATTTTAAACCAACTCCTTGTACAATGCTGAAGCATACTAGTTTCAGCACTCTTGAACCTTATGAGAGAGCCAATTGAAAAAGAATGTGTATTATTTTCCAATTAAAATTTAATGTCAGGGCCAGCAGATGGCATAGCAATTATGTCACTGGACTCTCACATGGCCGACCATCCTGGACCTGATGGCTTGAAAATTACTCCAGGTACATATGTGTGAGTGCCTAAGATCCTGAGAAAATGGAAGAGAAGGGATTGAGGTATGGTCATCCTCCCAGGGGGTGATTATTCACTTTCCCCTCCTCTCTCTATCTCTCTGGTGAGCACACAAACGCTCTAGCAAATTAAAATAATAATAATAAATAATAACACTCTCCCAGATAATTATGATGTATACTCACAGTGAGAACCAGCTTTGGTGGTATGAGAAAGACAGTCTTGGGAACCTCAATGGTCAATACTTAATATTTAGCATAGGCCCTGGTTAAATTTGAAAATCCATGATAACAACCGTGTTAGCTATCTGTTGGTTTCTAAGCAATCAAGTAAACTTCTGACCCAAACAATGGAACAGGTTGAAGGAAAATTAAGTCTTCCTTTTCTTTCTGTAGCAACTAACTCCCTCCCCCAGTGCTTATAAAGACAAGAAATTAATGTTGTCTTGCTCACCCTTTCTAATGGTCCAAACGTGGACCTCTACCTGAGGTGGTCTCTCAGTCTCCAGTGCTATTTTTCTGGTGGTCTCCCCATCTTCCATGAACACAGACTCATACACGGGCATTGTTTCTTCTCCACAAAAGTAGCCTTTGCTGTCAAAGTTTTGGCTTGGAAGTTCTTCTGGAATCAGGAAATAAGTAAAGTTTTGTCATGGTTTTCTTTTTTCTTTAGAGAGATTGTATTCCTATAGGGCATGTGTGCTCACCAGAGAGACAGAGAGAGACAGAGAGACAGAAAGTAAGAAATCACTTCCCAGGGGAATGGCCATACTGCAATCCCTTCTCTTTCATTCTCCTCTTGGGATTTTGGGCATGCACGCATATGTGCCGAGCATAAGTTTTAAGCCACCAGGTCTGGGACTCGAACTGCTGTAGACTATGTGGGAGTCCAGTGACGTAACCCTTATGCCATCTGCTGGTCCCTGTCATAGTTTTCTAAAATTAGAAGTGAACTTCTCCATTTATCTATCTCATTATTTATAACATTTCACAGTTATCAAAGTGGATAATCATTCAGAAGATTTTTACAGAGACAAAAATTCCACCCATATTTTACTAGTTCAGCTTAAGCTGCCCCTAGAACAGCCACAAAATCACAAAGGAGCATTTTTTTTTAGCAAAGTCCATCTTTTGATATAAGCCATACTTCTGTAGAACACTGACCCAGAAACTTTATTGGATCCCCCTACTATTGTCAATGAGGAGTAGACTTCCATGAGAAAGAAGAATATGGCCAGGTACAAATCTCTTTGGCATTTAAGGAAACAGGATTTTCCATACTGGGTTGGTCCAACTTGGTGTTGCCAAGAGAGGCCTAGGGAATGGGCTGACAGAGGTTAACTTCCCTGACATCGTTTAGACATACTTAGAAAACACTCATGACACTCATTTATGTGCATATACTTGCCCAAAGGATCTATCCAAATTGGCTTGACATTTCTGAATGCTCTTTGATTTGTTTGCAAGGGGAACGATAATACCGGATCAACACCAGTGCCAAAACCTAGATGTCAGATTAGTCATATGCATGCAATGCCAAATGAATGGTTTGGAGACACAAAAATTTGGTTAAATCCCTCAACTATGGATCATTTAATGTGTAAGCTAAACTGTTGCGTTTCCGCTTTCAGGCATAAAGGCACTAGGCTCCTAATACTCTGTATTCTACTCTATTCTCCTCTCCTCAGTTCCCTACTAAAACCCATTTCTCCTGGTTAGTTAGCCTGAGTTAAGTTTCATTGCTGACTTCATAATTAGCACTCTCTTAAGCTGCATATTTAAAGTGTACATTCAAGTCAGTAACAATAAAGAGAAGACTTGGATATCCTTAAAACTGAATATGTGAAGAAGCTATCTGCAAGAATATCTGAATTGTTCAGGATGAATCCGTTGTGGGTTGAGTGCTTTGGATCTGTGACTCTAATTAGGGAAACTTACTGTTAAGCAATCAGATGCATTTGGATTAGAAGTGGTAATCAAATTGCTATTGTAAGTCTCTTGCTGACCTGATTGGCTTTCCTGCCCTACAACCAGTTAGCATTGTAAGGACAAAAACCATAGTCTTCTCTCACAATTCCATGTTGGATTATGCAATTTGTGGATTATCCTCGAATCAAGCTTCCTTTCTCCTTTCGTCCTTCTTTTTAGCTATTTAATTACATAGTGGGACAGTCTTTTTGGTGATATGTTAGGTAATTATGGGATATGTGCCAGAACTTTTCAAGTTGAGTGGAGAGAGGGAGGAAGCCACCTAGTGTACAGGGACTGCTATATGTTCTATTATCACCTTTAGAATGAGAGCTGAGTTCATTTCTTTTTATTTATTTATTTTTTTTGAGAGGTTTTTCACTATAGGGCGCGTGTGCTCACCAGACAGAGAGAGACATAGAGACAGAAAGCGAGAAATCACCCCCCAGGGGGGATGGTCACACACGCCACAATCCCTTCTCCTCCATTCTCCTCTCGGGATCTTGGGCATGCATGCACACGCGCCCAGCATGAGTTTTAAGCCACCAGGTCCGGGACGCAAACCGCGGTCGACTACGTGGGAGTCCAGCGACATAGCCATTACGCTAACTGCTGGTTCCCGAGTTCATTTCTTAAACATTGCCCACCAGCTTAACATTGGCTACAGCTATGATTGACATACGAAATCCATGGTGGCACTGGAAGTACTCATAATACGCTAAAAGTTCTCCCATTATCCTGAAAAATGGCTCCACATCACTACTTTCTCCTCTCCAACAATTTGACCAAAGGGATCTATGAACAACGAACCCTCATTAGTGACTCAACCCTGGCTGACAACTGAAAATAATAAATTAAAAAAAAAAGTAGTTTGTCCTTAGATCTACCTATTCAGCAATATCCTCCACTTTCCACAATCTTCACCTCAAGGTGCTTTTTGATAACTCCACGTTTACCTTTTTAATTTCCTTCCAGGAAATCATGCCATAGGTGAAGTCATTTTTAGCCAATCTCACTTCCCACAAAAATGCTTCTGTTCTGAGCTCTTCAGAACTACAAAATTGAGACACCGTTCTTTGTGGAAGTGGTGATGATTGATGAAAGAGATGTATGAGAGAACTTCAAAAATTTGTGGAAAAATAGAATTTAAGTACCAGTTTATTTTGGTGCAAAAATAATTTGATATCTATTTTTTTTCATAGTACACATTTCCTGTGAACTTTTTGAATAACCCTCATATTATCCCAGCCCAGAAAACTTTTGCATCTTAGCAGGGGCTTTGTATGCCTTAAACAAAATGAATATTTAATTGCAAGAACTCCAAATACTGGGGTTGTAGTAGTGGGTGTAAGAAGTGAGTTAGGGAACCTTAAAGAGGCAGAAATTCTATCCAGCCCTCTAGGTAGTCATCGAAATGCCAAGCAAAGCAAGACCAGTCTCTATCAGAGCAAAGGGGAAAGAGAGAAGTGAAATTAACATCCTTTATTTGGGCCCTAGTTTGTTACAGAAGGAGACTGCTATCATTTGCTGCACCAAAATTTTGGCTGATCATCTATGCATTTTATTATCTCTTTTCCCTTATCAAAAAGAACTGAAAATGCTCTTTGTTCTTTCAATCTTCTTGTCTCAATCTCTTGCTCCTTTTCTTTTTGTCATTTTTTAAGAGACAGGCTATATCATGATCATCTCATTTCTCACCCTTTCACATCATTCAGGATTGTACTCCAATATCACCTCTTTAGAGAAGCCTTCCTTGGTTCCTCTTTTGAAAGTGCTTCCTGTACCTCATTTACTACTTTCTGACCCTGTTTGGGTTTTCTTCACAGTACTCATCACAATGTAAAATTTCTCTACTTATTTGGGTTCACCATTTTTCTTCTCCACGAGAATGTGGGTTTTAGGCCTTAGTTTTATTATCAATTTGTATAATTCTTGGACAAGTCATTTTATATGCATCCGTTTTCTTTAAAAGAGAAATAATATAATCATACAATTTTGGTGTTGGAAAAGAGCTTAGAGATCAATCATTCCAAACTTTTCATTGTACAAATAAGGCTGATGAGATCCAGAGTGGATTCTGCTTATTTCCAAGGTCATATAATGACTTATATTCAGACTAGAACTCAAATCGCCTTCCACCATGACACACCTGTCATTCTGTCTCAAAAGGGTAGTAGTTGTGATTGTGCTTTGATGAGTTAAGTAGTGATAGAAATAAAAGGTTTTGTTCTTACTGTTCTTCCAAATAATCATGATAACCTGAATTCTCTATTAGAAAAACAAGGGTAAGTTCAGTTCCACGTTTAGCACTACATGGAAGGTGTGGTACACTCAAGCATATCTCCAGTATATTTCTGAATAATAAATTTCTTCCAAGTAACCATCTTATCGTTCCTTTAAAGAGAGGAAAGAATTCATTATTATTAGAACTATTATTATAATTATATGACAGGTTGATTATGTTTCTGATGCTCAAAGAAAGTTGAGAAGGATTATGTGGGGATCTCAGTCAACCAAAGGCAGGGCCTCCAACCAACGCACCTTTTGCCTTTTTACCTGGACACACCTTGCAGCACTTCCCATCTATTTTTTGAGGATATTTGCAGGGGTACCGATTGGGGCAGTGGATTTTCTTACACTCTTGCTTGGTGACATTACAAGTGCACAGCACACACTCCACAATACCAAATGCCCGGAGGTTTGGATGCCAGGACTCGCCATGGGAATAGGTCTTTCCATTGGAAACACAAACTGGAAGAGAACACAGGACTAGAAATTAAAGGCTAGAGAGCTCAAATGGGTCCCTAGGCTCAGAACCCAAACCCTGAACTTCACATCTTCTCTTCTTCACATGGCTGTAGATATAGGCTTATAGAGCAGTCTCTGTGACCAAAATCAGCTTGAGCCATGTTCTACTGTCAGCAGTTATCCAGGTTCTTTGGCAGTTGCTTCTGGATGCTCACAAATGGCCTGATACATAGTAGGCAGTCCATAAATATTTTTTTAAATGGAGTACTTCAAGGAGTGCATGAAGGTGGTGTTTTGCCTGTCCTAGGCATCTGATAAGGAACCTCTAGTAGAATGTAGTGTTAAAATATGCAGTGCCATAAAAAATTTTCATGGCTTAAATGGATATGCTTCCCAACATGAAAATTTCCCAGAGATTTGCAGTCCAAGGAGGCTAGATGCAAATGCTAATGCTTTTCCCAAAAGGCCAGTTTCTTCCAGATCCTGAAGCAAATCCATTCAGAATGTCAAATGGTATGAGTCTGATAAACCAACATAGGTAGGTATGGGGCTTAATGATGCTGGAGTACTTTCTGGTGTGGGAAGGAAAGTGCTTAGATAAGCTTGAAAGGGAAAGGACCCATGCCTCGTGGTAACTTGCAGAGAGGTGGTCTTTTATGCCTCTAATCATCAGACAATTTCTTCAGTCTCCTACTTTGTAGTGGCTGTGGAGATAGGGGTACAGTGAATCACTGCCTGCTCCACAGATACCCTTTGGCAATCTGACATTTGTTGAGTAGGAAGTGAAGTCACTGCTCTATGTTTTCTGAGAGGCCTTGAAAGTACAAGCATCTGGGCTGCAGGCTGAGGGGCCCAGGAAGGGAAGGACCCACAGGAACATCCTTCCATGCAAATCGACCCAGAACATCTGGCTCCTACTGTGAAGCATAGTGCTGGGCTCCTGGATAAGAACTGCACAGGGCTGCAAATAGTAAGATCTGAAAATGAGTTCTCTCCCTTTTTGAGAGTGCTGAGACATTGTGGAGATTTTAAAACCATGACTGGGACTGGGTGTGTTTCTCATTATTCCTATCACCTCATTACACCCAGGGAGACCTGTCGGCATCCCAATCAACAACATCTCTAGGGTGGGTTGTATCACTTAAGGCGGGGCTGAAGGGGGAGAAATAGCCCCACTTGGGGCGTTTCTAGGAATTGACTGATTTGGCTGCAAGACAATGGCCTCAGAAATATGAATCATTGGGCTATTTCTTTCTCATTAACTCCACTGGGTCACATTAAGAAATATGGAGTGTTGGCTGCCTTTTCCTGTCCTTTGCAAGAGCGGCTAGAGTACTGGGCATACTAATGGGTCAATCCATGAAAGGTTTCTAAGAACCTACACTGGAGAAGTTCCTAACTGTATAATGAGACATAATAGAGAGTTGCTACCTAAACTGTGAGGCTTAGGCTTTGGAGAGGATTACATAAGACAAGGAGGATATGCTGTTCTCTCTCCTGGTCTTTCCTCTCTTCCCCAGTAACTCGCTCTGGACAATTTGATCAAGTGGAGTCATACTTTGCTTTAAGAAAATTTAGGCTGAATTCAGGTTCAAAATGGTGGCATCCTATCACTTCTTTTTGTCTTTGTCTTTTTTTTTTTTAAGAATTGTTTTACTTAACTTTATTTATTATTTTAATTTTATGAGAGGTAGATAAAGAGAGAGAGAGAGAGAGAGAGAGAGAGAGAGAGAGAGAGAGAGAGAGAGAGAGAGAGAGAGAGAGAGAGAGAGAAAGTGAGAAAGCAAGCTGCCAGGTCCGGGACTTGAACTGCAGTCGGCCAAATTGGAGTCCAGTGCCCTTAACCACCATGCCACCTGCCAGCCCCACTTCTCTTTAAATTTAACAAGGAGCCAAGTAGATTTATCTTAGCAGACTGTATCATAAGTAAGAGAGATGAGCAGAGAGTGAGCCATGCTGAGAAGCAGGGCAGGCAGGACTTCCAGTGTGATATAGCTAGATTCTCTCCTCCCCCCACCCCCTGCCAAAACATTTGTATTAAGGGAACAGTCCAGACTGAGAGTCTACATTCTGCAGTAGAATAGGGTGAGGTCAATTCTCTAGAGGGAACTCAGCCTTCTTCCACCAACAAATTCTCAAGATGATTTTTGAATCACTCAGCTGGGGAGTTGGGAGTTGGGGGTGGGGACAATTGATTCTCTAGTGAACTATAATGAAAAGGTCAGAAAAGAACTTCTGCATCCAAATCAATGGGGGCAAATGAATAAATGTAAACCATCTGGGGCTTTTGTACAATACAGAGAAAATCAGGAGATGAGTCTTTGTCCTGAAAGTGATGAGGCCCTATGGAAATTCTGAGATTTAGCATTTTCTAAGTCCATTAAACCCTACACTTTTTTTTTAAGGCTTTGAAATACTTTCTGAACAAATGAAGTCTATTGGAGGCAATTTAGGATTGGAAATCAGAATGGATCTTTACTTAGTTCATCCTCTTCATTTCATAAACTGATATAAGAATGTCTTGGAACTTAAAAATAATAAACTTCAAATAAAACAGATCAATAGTAAATATTTCCAATTCTTCCAATACACCATTTTTTTTTATTAAGAGTTTTATTTTGAATGTACTTCTAAGCCTGTAAATTTCAAAACAATTTAACTTTTTTATCTGTAATCTGAAATTTACATCTAACTAGTAACAGATGTGATCAACTAACTTTGGCTTGACTAGCTTTGTTGAGATTTATGGTAGGAGTTCTTTGTAACAGATTGTTTTTCACCCGTGTTATTCAATCATTTGGTTTAATAATTTATTACTTTTAACCCATTCAGAGAACTGCCTTTGATTTGTTTTTCTTTTAAAGGAAACAAAAACATGTTTGTGGTTTCATAAAAAGAACCAGCTGAGCTTATGCTCCAAGAGCTGGATGACAGGATACCTACAAAAGTAAGAAGTAGTTAATTATTCAAATTTCTCCTCCCGTCATCTCTGCTACTGCAGGGTTGGGAGTTGTAGAATTCTGTGCAGGAAGAAAAGGGGCCCATGGATATGTGCGGAGGGCACTACTGCCAGCTGTTAAGCTGATTGGACTGCATGCCAGTGTTAACCTGACTAGTCCTCTTGATGCTTAGTCAGGTGGTTTCTGGATTTTTCATTGGATTACTCATTTCTAAAGACAGTCTCCTCATATGCTACACACTGAAGCAGAATCATTGAGTGGGGCAAGGAATATTTGCCTTCACCCAGAGCCTCTGGGATAACAGGGGAACACTGAGGTATGAGAATTGCTATTTCTAAGGCACAGATAAGAGCTCCAGAAATGCAGTACCTTTGAAAGTTGGATGATCTACTGGAAAACGAATAACCACTCATTTTCTTAAAGACTCAAGAATTTTTCCCAAATGACCTCCAACCTCTCCCCCCCCCCGAAAGGGTTATCTGAGAAAATGTTAGATGCTACTTTCTGAGCACAAAGGGGGCTTGACTATGTTCATTTGGTTACATTTAGGGGAGTTGTAATAGTCCCCTGGAGTCATTTATCCACATCCACTTTGTAGACTTGATGGCAAGTGATCCACATATGAATATGTAATATTCATGAGGGAAAGGGTCCTTTCTCACCTCCATCCCTTTATTTATTTATTTATTTATTTATTTATTTATTTTGGAGAGGTTTTTGCTATAGGGTGCATGCGCTTGCCAGAAAGACAGAGAGAGACAGAGAGACAGAAAATGAGAAATCATCCCCAGGGGAATGGCCATGGCGCAATCCCTTCTCCTCCTTTCTCCTCTTGGGATCTTGGGCACGCACGCATACATGCCCGGCATGAGTTTAAGCCACCAGGTCTGGGACTAGAACCGCGGTCGACTACATGGGAGTCCAGTGACATAGCCATTATGCTAATTGCTGATCCCAGCTCCAACCCTTTAAAGACCAGCACTGCCGAAGTCCTAATGTGGAAGTAATACAGAAGGACACCCCTTACCTTGTCCATGCTTGTGTTTGTTATTGATGACAATCTGCACAATAGTCCCCGATGCTTGCTGGGAATCCATAAGAGCTCCCCGGTGACTTCTGGCCCCGGGAAAGCGGGGAAGACCTCCAGCCTGTCGGCTTGGTGGAGGATCATAATGAGAACGGTGGTAAGAATGCCTCTGTGAAATGACAAGAACAAAATCAGTGCAAGAAATCCAACAATGAGATGACAGAGATTGAGTTGTATACACTAGAAGCCCTTTGATGATTTTGATTTATAGTGATGAGCTCTCAGCTTAACTGCATGTCCACCTCATCAATAGCAATAGAGACATGATTATGTAAAAACAGCATTAGCAACATGTTGAGGTTTTTCTCTCTTCTTATAGAAGATCAGTCTGGATTTGCAGACAAACGCTGGTAGGCAAAAATAACCAAAAAGGTAAAAGTGTCCTTCCTACTTGCAAAAAGTCTCACATTCAGGTTTAAGAGTTGATGCAGTAGTCTGTAACACAAGACACAGTGTGACAGAGGCCACAGGGAAAGTATAAAGTGTTGTGCAAATTAGGAAGAGAAAGAAAGTTTCTAATGGGGAAGTCCTTATGGCCTGAGTCATGAAGGGTAGGGAGGCATTTTACAGGCAGAATTTGTGGAGAATATTCCAGGCAGAGGTTTCCAAATTGAGAAGGTGTAACAGAGAACATAGAGTCCATAAAAGGGAACAGTTAAAGGATAACATTCCAAAAGTGAATTGGAGCCAGATCATGTAGGACTTTAAATGACAGGCTAAGGGGTGAGGACTTTATTTGGTAAGCAATAAAGGTGGGCGGGGGTGGGGTGGGGTGGAAGAATTTCATGTTTGTTTTTTTTTTTTTTAAGTAAGGAAATAATCAAAACTGTATTTCAAAGCATGGAACAGTGATATGTGTAGGGTGAACTAGAAAGGAGGAAAAAGCTGAACATAAGAATAGTCTCCTTAAAATGTACTGAGACTCTAAATGCAAGCAATGGTATTCATCAGAGCACAGATACCGTAGCTGTTTAAGAATTGGCAGTACATGACAGCATTAAAACGTATTCACAATCACAGACTTTGTCTTGTTTACTGCTATATCTCCAGTGTCTACAACAATGTCTAGTATCTACAAGGTGCTCATTAAATACTTCTTAAAATTTTATTTCTTCTATGAGCAATAGAGAACAGAGAGACAGAGTATACTCCCAACAGAATTCTGACACTACGATTCACCCCCAGCTATAGCCAGCCCTAGATCATGGGAATATATATGCCCAGGGAAGTCTTGCATGTGAATCCAGAACGTCCCCATGTAGGTCAACGTCACAGAGGATTGCATTTTACTGCTGCACCACCATCTGACCCTGCAAATACATGTCACATGAATGAAACTATGGTACCTAAAGAAACAGTCTAGTGTAACAAATAATCTAACCATTGTTTTTTCAGTGAGTATTCAAGATATATGAAGAGCTCGAAGAGCTCACTATTCTGCTGCCCACTCCTCTTCCAGGATCTGTGATAGGTCAAAGGCAGAGGAGAATCAAAAGAATGAAGAATGCAACTTTAAGGATTAAAGTCAAATAACAATACTTGTGTTTTAGAGACAATTTTAAGAGGTGAAGTCTTTAGCAGACAATTATAAGAAATAACCTTATATTCAGTGATAGAATAGCAAAAAGACCGCTATGGGATCTTCTGACTCCACCATTACATAAACATTTATTACAGTTATGTGCTATAGACACTCCTGTTGCAAATAGAGCACTGGGAACTTTTATTGCTCTCTTAGTGGAAGTGAGGACACTGAAAAGAAGGGGAAAGCAAATAGGAGCTGGAGTAAGAAGATGTTTTGTATCCTTTTAAAAGAGAGCTTTATACTATATACCTAAGAAGAGCACATGTCCGTACTTTGCTATAAAGATTCACACAAATAAGAATTTGCATCAATCTATGAACATGTACATGGACAAGATTCTTAGTGCAAATATTTCTCATTCCTACAGTGGCTCATATGTCTTTTTCTACCATAATCTGCATAGGCCATTACAGATTGTCCTTTCTGGAGTTTGGCAAAGTTTTGTCAATGAAACACAGAGAGGATAGTTTTGCTGATGGGTGTCCCACTGATGGTAAAAGAAAGTTCAACAGAAATAGAATTAGAGAGGGAAGGTTGCTGACTGGGGATAGGCTGCAAGTACAAGAAGTTCTCTGATTTATGATGTGAGCACAAAATGAAAAGCTGTTCTTTAGCACCAGGGACTGAGACCCTGGACATATGATAAGGATAGAAAATGATTCAACTTCTTTGGTTAGGTTTATTCCTAGGTACCTTATACTTTTTGTGGTTATTGTAAATGGGATTACTTTCTTCAATTCTAACTCAGTCTGACTGTTGTTAGTGTATAGAAATGCTGTAGATTTTTGTATGTTGATTTTGTATCCTGCCACTTTACTGTAGTCATTTATCACTTTGAGGAGTTTTTATGTAGATTCCTTGGGGTTTTCTATGTACATAATCATGTCATATGCAATTAGAAATAATTTCACTTTTTTTGCTACTTGAATAAGCCTTTTATTTTATACTCTTATCTGATTGCATTGACAAGGACTTCCAGTACTGTACTGAAGAGGAGTGGAGAAAGTGGGCAGCCTTGCCACAAAAAGTATAAGGTACCTAGGAATAAACCCAACCAAAGAAGTCAAAGACCTCTATAAGAGGGACCAGCAGATGGCCTAACAGTTATGTCATTCGACTCCCATGTAGTTGACTGTGACTCGAATCTTAGACACAGCAGTTTAAACTCAAACCGGACACATGTGTGTGCAAACCCAGGATCCTGAGAGGAGAATGGAGGAGAAGGGATTGAGGCGTGGCTATCCCTCTTGGGGGGGCTATTTCTTGTTTTCTGTCTCTCTATTTCTCTTTGTCTCTCTGGTGAGCCCACACACCCTATAGCAAAAGTCTCTCTAAAAACAAAAACAAGAACACCTCACATGGAAAACTAAAAAATGAAATTAAAAATGACACAAAAAAGTGGAAAGACATCCCACGTCCTTGGATTGGAAGAATTAATATAATCAAAATGTCAATTTCACCCAAATTAATCTACATATTTAATGCAATTCCAATCAAATTATCAGGGACACTCTTCACAGATCTAGAAAAGAAATCATAGAATTTGTCTGGAATAATAAAAGCCCACATATTGCGAAAGCAATACTGTGCAAGAGTGGAGTTAGAGGCATCCCACACCCTGACCCCATAATATATTATAAAGCTATGATAATCAAAACAGCATGGTACCGGCACAAAAACAAGCATGTAGACCAATGGAACATAATAGAGACCATAGAAATAAACCCCAAAACATATAGCCAACTGAGTTTTGACAAAGGGCACCAGGCAATCAAGTGGGGAAAGAAAAATCTCTTCAGCAAATGGTGCTGAAAAACTGGGTATCCACCTGCAGAAAGATGAAACTGGACCCCTAACTCTCACTATTAACAAAAATAAAATAAAAATGGATCAAAGATCTAAACTTAAGACCTCAAGCTATAAAACTACTGGTGGAATATACTGGAAAAACTCTTGGAGACCTTAGAGTAGGCAGACTTCTTAAATAGGACTCTCAAAGCACAGGCAATAATCCCAAATAGAGACAAGTGGGATTACATCAGGATAAAAAGCTTCTGCACAGCAAAGTAAACAATAATTAGAATGAATTAACAACACTTGGAATGGAAAAATATATTTGCAAACTATGCCTCAGACAAGTGACTGATAACCAGAATTTTTAGGGAACTCAAGCAGCTCACAGCCCCCCCTCCCCAATGACCAATCCAATTAAAAGATGGGCAAATGAGCCTTAGACAACTCTCTAAGGAAGGCACATAAACAGTCAAAAAGCATGTGAAAAAATTCTCAGCATCTCGTATCATAAGGGAGATGCTAATCAAAACCATAATGAGATACCACCTAACCCAGTCAAAATGATTAAGATTAAAAAAAAAATAACAAAGAATAATTAGTGCTGACAAGGCTGTGAAAAAGGAACTCTCCTACCCTGTTGGTGTGAATATAAATTAGTACAACCACTGTGGAGAACAATATGGAGATTCCTCAAAGACCTACAAAGAGAACTACAAGATGATCCAGCAATTGCACTCCTGGGTATCTACCCAAAGGATAGGAATGCACTCAGTCAAAAAAAATTGCATATACATGTTTATTGCAGCATTATTCATGATTGCTAAGACATGGAACCAACCCAAATGTCCACCAACAGATGAATGAACTGAAAAAACGTGGCATATATACACTACAGAATACTACTCGGCCATAAAAAAAAAATGAGATCCTAACAATTGATAGAAAGTGGACAAATATGGAACTTCGCTCTTAAGTGATGCAAACCAGACTTTGGCAGAAACTGAAATATTGGACAACATAAAGGTATAGAGAGCAACTGTGGATACCAGAGACAGTGCAGGAGAAGGGTGGGAAATGGCAGATGGTGAGCGAGAGGGAATCAAAGGGACAAAAAAAGAAGTAAAACAGTGAAGAAACACAAAATGGAAAACTTTCTGTTGAAGATAGTAGGTATGTGGTCAAATGATGTATAGTGATAGATTGTTCAAAACAATAATAAGAATAATAAAATAAGATTTAAAAAAGATGATAGGTATGGTAATATTTTTGATTGAGCCAATATTCAGTGTATTCTGGATGGGAAAATTTATTTTGTATGCTGCAATGATACACAGTGAATGAATGTAAAATAAATAAGTAAATAATTTATTTTTTTTTTTTTGGAGAGGTTTTTGCTATAGGGTGCATGCGCTCGCCAGAAAGACAGAGAGAAATCGGGAGACA